ACCCAACCAAACCCAACCAGACCCCAACCAGACCCAATCAGACCCCAATCAGACCAACCAGACCCCAACCAAACCCAACCAAACCCAACCAGACCCAACCAAACCCCAATGAGACTCCAACCAGACCCAACCAAACCCCAATGAGACTCCAACTGGACCCAACCAAACCCCAACGAGACTCCAACCAGGCCCAAGCAGACCCCAAGCAGACCCCAACCATGGCCTTGGGTACAAATAAAGAGTTGGTGGCTCTGAGCTGGTGGCTGCAGATTTATTTCTGATGGAATGGCGGGAGTTGGGGAGGAGCTGATGTTCACCAGCTGTTTGTGGGGCCATGGARCATTTGGCCACCATGGTCCTGTCTCCTTCTTTGGGAACTGTGACCACTGCGGGGCTGATGGGTGGAAGTCAAGATTGGCTCATTTTTGGGGTGAGTGATCCTGGAACCCCCAAATTTCCACCCAGAGAGGCTGAACTCACCACCCAGACACAAACCATCCCAGAGCACAACCCTGCAGACCTACAGCCACATCCCACCAGTGCCTGGTAGCTCTCCATTCCTGGGTACAGGGCTTGTTCCCACTTTCCCTGTGTGGAGTCTGACAGCCCAAAGCCACCTCAGGGCATGAAGTCCTCTGGAAGGATGTGGCTTAGTTGGAGGTGTCCCTTGGGCCACCCAAGAGAGCAGGAAAAGCCTCTCACCCAGTTCCTCCCATCGTGAGGCTTTTACAGAAGCACAGAACCTTCTTAGTTCCCATTTTTTGTGAGGAAATTACCTCCATCCACATCCAAGCCTGTTAAAAATGGAAGCTGCCTCTTTCCAGGGAGCAGCTGCAGTGGAATGGCTCAGCAGGAAGGCAGGGACAGAGATCCAAATCCCTGCTGAGTCCTCATTTCTGCAGCGCTGAGGGACAAGGGACTGTTTGAGTTATTTACTGATAAATGAGGCTCGGTCACCGGTGGGGCCGGGAGATTCCGTACCCAGTGGGAACCGGGATGTGGAGGGAGATCCGGGTGATCGGGGTTGGAAATTAATTATTGTCTTCTGTCACTGTGCAAAAACTGAGCTGAGTCTAAAGGAGGATGTGGTGTGGGATGGTGGGACTGGGGGATTCCCCCCCCCCCCCCCCCAGCTCCCTGGGATCTCACACCCCTGGGATCCCAAATCCATGGGATCTCACACCCCTAGGAACCTCCACCCCTGAGATCCCACACCCCTGAGATCCCACATCCCTGAGATCCCAAATCCCTGAGATCCCAAATCCCTGAGATCCCACACCCCTGAGATCCCAAATCCCTGAGATCCCACATTGCTGAGATGTCACACCCCTGGGATCCCACATCCCTGAGATCCCACATCCCTGAGATCCCAAATCCCTGAGATCTCAATTTCCTAGGATCCCAGATCCCTGGGATCCCACACCCCTGAGATCCCAAATCCCTGAGATCCCAAATCCCTGAGATCCCACACCCCTGAGATCCCAAATCCCTGAGATCCCACATTGCTGAGATGTCACACCCCTGGGATCCCACATCCCTGAGATCCCACATCCCTGAGATCCCAAATCCCTGAGATCTCAATTTCCTAGGATCCCAGATCCCTGGGATCCCACACCCCTGAGATCCCAAATCCCTGAGATCCCAAATCCCTGAGATCCCACATCCCCTGAGATCCCACACCCCTGCGTTTCCCTGGTGGGAATCTCTTGCATCTCTTCCCTGGGAATCTCTTCCCTGGTTGGGTCACTCTTGCACAGGAGTGACCCAACCCCAAATTTCGGGCACGTGGGGTTTGCCCTCAGCTCCATGGCAGGAATTTTCTCGTTGTGAGCAACAAGAACTGAGGCAGACGCAGCAGGARCCGTGACCCCAAGGATCAGCCCCCCAGGGGCCAGCCCGGCCAGGATGGACGAGCCTGGAGCAGCAGCCAGGGGCTGGAGCTCTGCTTTCGGTGATCAGGATGGGTGTGGGATGTTTTTTCCTGATTTTTCCAGGSAGGACCATCATCCCAAATGCTGTGCCAGGGGGCAGTTCCCAAATCCTCCTCCTGCGCTGGTGCTGAGAATTCCGGGCTTCCTCCACGGGCTGGGGCAGCCTTTCCCACACGTGTGTTCGCATTCCAGTAAAGGAATAAACCAGCAGAAAGCTTCCAAGAGGGAATTGGAGAGCGGGAAACGCGTCGGGACGGGGAAATGCCGATCCTGGAGTGCCATCTCCTGGCTGCAGTGCCAAACCTGAGCTCCGGGATGATCCTGGATGCTCCGGGATACTCCGGAATGCTCCGGGATGCTCCGGGATGCCCTGGGATGATCCTGAATGCCCTGGTTGTACAGGATGCTCCATCCTAGAAGTGCCCAAGGCCAGGTTGGATGGGTTTGGAGCACKCAGGGACAGTGGAAGGTGTCCCTGCCCATGTCAGGGGTGGAATGGGATGAGCTTTAAGGTCTCTTCCAAYCCAAACCATTCTGGGATTCTCAGGAATTTCAGCTTAAAGGAGGGAGATGCTTCTACCTGCAAATATTTCACACCTGGCCACAGGTTCTGTCTTGCTCCAAGGATTAAAAATGGCCAGGAGACCTTTTTGATAAAGCAAAGAGGTTTCTTGTCTTCTTTTAGCTTTTTCTGAGGCAAAAAAAAATCAAGAATGGATTCAACCTCTGCAGAGAAGGAAATGATAGATTGGCTCATTAGGGCTTGACTCCAGATCAGGGCATTTACTGAGGGCTTTTTATGGATTTCATTGAGCTTTGAGCTTTGGGCCTCTGTTTGGGAAGGGACAAAGCTGCAAATTGAGCAGGAAAATGTGGTTTCTGGCACGTTTTTACTAAGCACCAGCTGAGTGTTGACACTGGGAATTCATAGCCCGGTTTTCCTCCTCTTTAGGGCAAATTGGAAATCAGTGRATGTGTCTGGAGAGGTTTGATGGCCCTGACCCTGTTCCCGTGGCATCAGTCAGGGATCCCCCTTGGACCTGGCCTCCCAYGATGGATGGTGTGAGCCAAACTGCAGAGTTTGTCCTCTCACAGAGCTGAGGATTTGTCATTATCTGTTTTCCA